TAAATATAAATATATACCAAAATGCACCAATATATCATCCTGCACTATTACGCGAGTATTTTCTAAAACAGTCAGTTCACAGTTTTTGTGAGCCTATGCAATGCCTGGGAAAATATCCTGCCTATATCCAGTACAAAAAAACACACACTGAAAGCCTTGTCTCTAGTACATACAACACAAACCCTCACCCCAACTTTACACTACCCTCACCCATCCACCACAGGAGAGCTGACCATTGGGACAGATACGGCCCTACACCGCATCATCGAAGCCATTGACGCTGTCCATAGCACAGCCACTTCGCACCAGCGCACCTTTGTACTCGAAGTTATGGGCCGACACTGCGGCTATTTGGCCTGGGCGGCTGGAGTGGCTACGGGCGCTGACTTCATCCTCATTCCAGAGGTGTGTTTTCATAGGTGTGGTGTATGTGTGTATGTATATATATATATATATATATATACGCCCCACATGCAACTATTTTAATACATCACCCGGCAGCGTGTGCGAAGTCTTCAGGGTTTACTTGGCTCTGCATCGACGTGTGTTCGCTTACAGTATCATGGCTACCTGTGTGCTATGTAACCTGCGCTCATACCTCACAGGTGTCGTGCGTTGTCATTTTGTTCTGTTATTCTGTCCTTAAGTCCTAAACCCATTTCATTCAGGCGCCGCCAGAACAAGACGATTGGGAGAGTGTCATGTGCCGCAAGTTAGAAAAGAGGCGCGCCAGAGGTGAGTGGCCAACGGGTGCAGCGTATATCCACCTCATGCCATGGGCAATCAACTATATTAACACATGACACATGACACATGGATATATGATAACATATGATATATGCCACATGACACATGACATATGACACATGAGATATCACACATGACAAATGACACAAGGTGCATAACACGTAGCATGGCTAGTGCTAGTACTAGTGCTAGTGCTGGTGTGTGCTGTCGCCGTAGTGTCATGCCATACGTACACTCACGGGTTAGTGTCATGAGATGTCATGAGGTGTCGCTTATCTTCATGCTCTGGCTAATATATATATATATTTATATATTAATATATTTATATATATTGAGGTGTCTCTTA